ATTGTTGCTGAACATATACACAGGAAAACATACCCCAATTCAACAATTGTTGTTAAGTGTCATTGAGTTGGTTTCGGCCCTGAACAATTAGTACATGTATAATTCAATGACATTGATAACATTCAAGTTGTACAACCCTTCTCAGCATCCTTCTCTGACTTGTTACTTCCTCATTAACATAAAGTTACTGACGCTCAAGCTTTCTAACTTTTCTAGTTTTTTTTTTTTTTTTTTTTTGTCAACTTGATCCCATGTAGATCATCTTTTAAAGACCCCTGGTGGCATAGCGGGTTATGAGTTGAGCTGCTAACTGCAAGGTCAGCAGTTTGAATCCATCTCAGTAGGAGAAAGATGAGGATTTCTGGTCCTGTAAAGATTTTCAGTCTTTAAAACCCTATATTTGGTTGTTACAGGTTGGAACTGACTTTACAGCATGTAATCACCACTACCACCAGATAGTTCTTTCAAAGAGTACAATGCTCCAAGTTCTCAAAGTAATTCTTAAGCTCATGGAAGTTTAAGAATCAATGTATGTTTGTTGGGGAAATGGGGTTGGCCACCATCAAGAACTTGCTCGTTCTACCTGGTGAAAGCCTTCTCATGACCCATTCATATTTGCTTATTCAACAGATCATAATTTACACCATTCTCTACTTCTGCCCAACGGTGAAATTTTAGAGTCATCAATTGCAGCCTGTTTTGACAATGGGGATCAAAGCTTGTGCTTACAAAATAGTCTCCTTTTGGGATCAAGTCACAGCTGGTAGAGTGACATTTTATAGAACCTTTGACCAAATTCTCAGCTGACATACAGGAAGCCTTTAAAGAACATTTATTTTAGCATATGGCAGGAATAAGCAGGACTGGAATCCGCCCCATCAGATCCCATTGAGTAATGGCAGGACATGGGGTGGGACCTTTGGGAGTTTGAAATTAAAGATAAACCTTCAAAGATATTAGGCACCTTGTTATGAAGTCACATGAAGATAATTTGCCTCTCTTTGGAGACTCCTCTCAGGATCCAATTAGGGTTTGTAGCTTGGGCAGAAAGTATAAGATGCTCTTAATGTAAGATCTAGTATTAAATCAGCTTAGGGAGAGAGGCTGATCTACTATTCATGGTATGCTGTGCCAGTCTGGAAAAATACCAGCGATTCCAGTGTCAGAGAAATCTTATTTTGTCAAGAGTGCAAGGAAAAAGACAAAATATAAACATAAAGCAACGACAACAAAACCCCTTAAACCCATTACCATTTAGATGATTCTGACTGATAAGAACCCTGTTGGACAGAGTAGAATTGTTCCATAGGGCTTCCACAGCTGTAATCTTTATGAAAACAGATTGCCACATCTTTCTTCTGTGAAGGCAAGAGAGACTCCATAAAGTGGGACCAAGACGTAGAGGAGCTGGGAGGGATCTCGTCTCCACCAGGTAGCTGTGATTACAGACCTGAGGCTGTCTTGTTGCTTATTGGATGGGAACAAAAAGGAGGCAATTGAAGGTCACAGAGGAAATGTGACCTGTCCAGGGTCACATATCTAGGGAGAGTGAACTAGAATCTACTCCTGTTTCTATGTTAGTAATGCTTTTTCCCCATCACCCTGCTCCTCCTGTCAGTGGAAAAGCAACAGACCACAGGCCACTATGGAGGAAACACTGAACAAAGTGGGGAGGTGCTAGCAGCGTGGAATTCAGGTGAGATGGTTTATGCTCCGTTCAAGGCTTCCTGATCTAATTTCCTTTCTTTGTCATCATCCCTAATGGCTCATTTCAGTATTGGCTTGGCTGTCAGTACATGAGGAATGAAAACATGATTAAATTCATTTACAGCTCTGTTCTAGTTTCCACCAAGCAAAAAACAAAACCAGACTCCAAATCCTTGCAGTTGAGTTAATTCAGACTTATGAGGACTACCTACGTTACAGAGTAGAGCTACTCCATAGGAGGTTTTTGGGCTAGACTCTTTACAGATGGAGTCCTGGTGTGGCACTGTGGGTTAATGCGCCAGACTGCAAAGCTGTTTGAACTGCAAGGTTGGCAGTTCAAGCTCACCAGTGACTCCTTGGAAACCCTATACAGGGTCGTTATGGGTCAGAACTGACTTGATGACAACAGCAATCTTTACAGAAGCAGGTCATCAGACCGTCCTTCCAAGGGCCTACTGGGTGGTTTTGAACAGCCAACCTTTAGGTTGGTAGTTGAGCACCAACAGTTTGCACCACCCAGGAGCCTCAGAACTCTCTGAAGGACCTTCAAATCTATTAATTCTGATTCCTAAACCAACAGCGATCAGACAGTGCCAGATGGCAGAGGTACATCTGTTTTTTCCTGTTTTCAAATTTGGACGCTGTGTACTGTAAAATTACTGCTTTTTATTAGGCACTGTTAGAACAACAAAATGATGCTTATAGAGATTTGTTAGGTGCTAAAAGGAGCTTATATTTGCTCTTTTGATTTCAAGGTTAATACTAGTACTTATTAAAACAATCCCCCTTAATCAGTCAGCCAACTCTAATTAGGCTAACAGCTGTTTGTTAAACATGCATGTTGTTAGACTGACAACAGAAATATTGGTACAAGCAGAGTTCATTGCTGCCTACTAGTGGATTTTTATATTTTGGTTTTGGTTAATTCTCTTTTGCTTGTAGAATATAAATTTTCCTTCCTTAAAATGTACATTAAGAAATTTAAATAGCCACCTTGTATATATGGAGTGCTTTTAGCTTTTCAGTGCACTTCATATCAGCCTTAATTTATGCATTAACCTTATCTCATAAGCAGAGTAGATATTATGATCCTCTCCTGGCAGAAAAGGAAATTGAGGTTCAGAGAGGTTAAGTACCTTACCTAAGATCAAACAGCTAATTGGGGACAGAGTTACAAATACAAGAGCTGACTTATAAGTCAGAGACTCACTTGCTCTTTGTTCATTCTAATAGAAGGATTTCTATGAGTGTGAGCTATCTATGCACTAAAAAGATAGTTACCTGTGCTTTATTGACTATGTAAAGAGATTCAACTCTATGGATCATAACAAATTATGTATAGCATGACTAATAATGAGAATTCTAACAGTTAATTCCACTTATGTGAAATCTGTACATAGAGCAAGAGGCAGTGGTTTGAACAAGTTAATACTGCAGGGACTAATATCAGGAAGTTGTGTCAAGGATGTATCCTTTCACCATACTTATTCAAACTGTATGCTGAGCAAATAATCTAAGAAACTGGACAATATGAAGAAGAATATGGCATCAGGATTGGGGGAAGACTCATTACCACCCTGCTATAGACAACTGATACAACCTTCCTTGTTCAAACCAAAGAAGACTTGAAGCATTTATAATGAACATTAAAGACTACAGCCTTCAATGTGGATAACATCTCAACAGAAAGAAGATGAAATGTTTCACAACTAGACCAATAAGCAGCATCCTGATAAACAGAGAAAAGATAGAAATTGTCAAGGATTTCATTTTACTTGAATCCACAACCAATACACAGAGAAGCAGCAGTTAGTAAGTCAAATGATGTATTGCATTGGGAAAATCTACTGCAAAAGACCCCTTGAAAGTGTCGAAATACATAGCTATTAGCTTGAACACCAAGATGAGCTTGATACAAGCCATGGTATGATCATCACAGTTGATGTGTTTGAACTGTGTTGGTGAAGAACATTGAATACATCATGGATTTCCAGAAGAAGGAACAAATCTGTTCTGAAAGAAGTACAACCTGAATGTTCCATGGAAGTGAGAATGGCAAAGCTTCATCTCTCATACTTTGGACATGTTGTCATGAGGGACCAGTGTTTGGAAAAGGACATCATATTTGGTAAAATAAAGGTAAAGCAGAAAAGAGAACGAGATGGCCCCTCAATCAGATGGACTGACAACAATGGCTGCAACAATGGATTCAAAATGGCGATAGATGGGAGTATGACACAGGACAGAACAGTGGTTCATTGTGTTTTATGTAAGGTCTCCATGAGTTCAAACCAACTGGATGGCACCATAATGATGTCTACATTTCTATTTCCACCTTAGACTACATAGTTTGTTGAAGTCAAACACCGAGATGATAAATGCTCAATATAAAATGTTATTACCTTGAAATGACGGTATCTCTGAGTAATGCAAATGACTAAGTACTCAACTACCAGCCACATCTTTGGTAGCTTAAACCCCACCCCACCCCACCCCCCACACACCCAAGAGGTGTCTTAGAAGACAGGTCTGGCAATCTGTTTCTGAAAGATCACAGTCTTGAACACCCTATGGACTAGTTCTACTCTGCAATCATCATGAGGTCTCCAAGAGTTGCAATAGACTCTACAACAACTAACCTTAACAACAACCTTGAACGAACTTGAACTAATCATCTAAGGTCCCCTGTCTTCACCCTCACAGGTCAACCATTGAATGGATGGCTGGAAGAAATGACACTGTTGTGAGCGAGTTCTTCCTTATTGCATTCACTGAGCATCCAGAGTGGGGACTTCCTCTCTTCCTGGTATTTCTGAGTTTCTATCTTGTCACTTTGCTGGGAAACGCAGGAATGATCATCTTGATCTGCAAAGATCGCAGGCTACACACCCCAATGTACTTCTTCCTCAGCCACCTCTCCTTCGTGGACATCTGCTACTCCTCTGTCATCGTCCCTCAGTTGCTGGCTGTGCTGTTGGAACACGGTGCTGTCATCTCTGAAGCTTGTTGTGCAGCTCAGTTCTTCCTCTTCACTTTCTTTGCCTCCATTGACTGCTACCTCTTGGCTATCATGGCCTATGACCGCTATGTGGCCGTGTGCCAACCCCTGCTTTATGTCACCATTATGACCGAGAAGGACCGCGTAGGCTTAGTGGCTGGTGCTTATGTGGCTGGTTTCTCCAGTGCTTTTGTTCGAACGGTCACAGCCTTCACACTCTCCTTCTGTGGAAACAATGAGATCAACTTTATTTTCTGTGACCTGCCGCCTCTATTAAAACTCACATGTGGGGAAAGCTACACTCAGGAAGTAGTGATTATCGTGTTTGCCATTTTTGTCATGCCTGCTTGCATATTGGTGATCTTGGTGTCCTATCTGTTTATCATTATAGCCATCATGCAGATTCCTTCTGCTGGCGGCAGGGCCAAGACCTTCTCTACCTGTGCCTCCCACTTCACTGCTGTGGCTCTCTTCTTTGGCACCCTCATCTTCATGTACCTGCGAGATAACTCGGGGCAATCCTCAGAGGAAGACCGAGTCATATCCGTGCTCTACACGGTGGTGACCCCCATGCTGAATCCCCTCATCTATAGTCTTAGGAACAAGGAGGTCAAGGAGGCTGTTAAGAAACTCCTCAGCAGGTCAAAAGTTTCTGGGAGGATCTAGAGGTGCCCATGTAAAATCTTTCATTTCTTGGTTTCTCTGTCCTTTCTGTCTTTATTCAAATATCACCTTCTTGGTAAGGCTTTCCCATAATGCTGTTTAAAGTTGCATCTGAACTATCACCTCCCTTTCCTGATGTATTCTGTGTAATACTTGTCATCAGCTATATACTTTATACTTATTTGGTATTGTCTAATTCTTATAACTACAAAGTAAACTATAGCAAGAATTTTGTCTGTGAACTGGCATATCAAAGATGTTCAATAAATATTTATTGAAGTAATCAATTAATCTCAGGTTCCAGTGTCTTAGCTGAGAACACAGATGTCCAAATTCATATGAGCTCTGGACCAACAGTTAGAAGAACACAGTTGTTTTTGAGCTCTACCTTTAAGTTCTAACTTCTTGAGTTCTCAATGTCCTTATATGTCAAGTGGTCTTAACCTATGTCATAGGACTGTATTTTGAGGATCCACTCTGATAGCATAGTGGTTACAAATCAGGTTGCTAACCTCAGGGTCATCAGTTTGAAACTACCAGCTGTTCCATGGGAGAAAGATGAGGCTTTCTGCTCTCGTAAAGATTTACAGCCTCAGAAAACCTGTACAGGGTCACTATGAGTCAGAACCGACTCCACAGCACATAACAACAACAACAACAATGCATGATTGGGTAGGGATCACTTCTGCTTTATTTACTACTGTATGGTGAGCACATTCCATTGTCAGGCACAACAAACACTTGATGAGGGAAGCAAGAGTATCTGGGAAATCATGCACATATTTGTAAATACAACTAGTTTTGATTCAAAAGGATTTTTCCAAATCCTATAATTTGTTATGTTCCTTCTTAGTTTTCTATAGTTTTGAATAATAATTATAGTTGTTGTTGTTGTTGTTGTAAATGCCATCAAGTCAGTTCTGACTCATAGAGACCCTGTATAGGGTTTCTGAGGAGTGGCTAGTGAGTTTGAACCACCCACCCTGTAAATCAAACTGATGTTGCGTTTAGTGCTTAACCTACAGTGCCACACCAGGATTCTGATAATTATAGTAGTATAATTACAGCACCATACCAGGACTCCAGATAGATAACAGCTAACATTTGTTAGGTATGTGTCTCCTGGTACGGCACTATAGGATAAGCTCTTGACAGCAATGTCAGTTTGAACTGCAAGGTTGGTGGTTCAAATCCATCAGGCACTCTTTGGAAACCCTATATAGGGTCGCCATGGGTCAGAACTGACTCAAAAGCACTTAACAACAACATATCACCTTTTAGGAATAAATGAGGTTTGCTACCAAAATTATCGGATTTAATTAACACAATAACCCTATGTGGCATGTTCTGCTTTAGGAAGATGAGGCAGCTGAGACTTATAGGGTTGTATAATTTTCCCAAGGCCAGAGAGCAACTGGTCGAGTAGGGATTCCATCCAGCTAGAGCACAAGTTTTGAATCTTCATACATACTCTACCCAGCTTTGGTCGACTGCTCACTCTAGTCACCAACCTTGGATTTATAGTTTGTGTATTTTTCTCCTTTCTTGAATCTGTGGGAGCAGAAGAGAATCTACAATGTTTGTTTGGAGCTTCTACACATGGGGTTGGTATGAATTGGAACTGACTCAATAGAAACTTAGTATTGTGCAATATGATAGCATGTGTCAGCATGTGTGTGTAGTTGTGTATGAGATTGTGAAGTGCCTAGATTAAATAAAATGCAGCTTTGGAACTCTGAGAACTTTCATTTTAAGATGACAAATATTTTAGAAAAGACTTTAGGAAAAGATATAAGGAAAAACAATGGCATTGGTGGCCAAGACACTTGGGGTCATACTTTAAATTTTGTTCTTATCATTGCATAAAATCACTTGAAGAATTCAGAATGGGATAAAGCAACTCCACAGAATGTATCTTTGGGATCATTTCTGAAATATTAACTGCAGTGCAAATATTCTCCTAACATACCAACTTCTGTAGATGGTGATAGAGGAATTTGTGTTGTACAAAGAACTCAGAATTTGGCACCAAAGTGTTCAGTTTGCCACGACTTAGTTGTATGGTGCCAAACTAGTGTCTTTTAGCTTGTTTTCCTGGTCTGTAATACCTATTGGGCATTTACTTTGGACATGTCAACAGGAAATACTAATTCTAGAAAAGGACATGCTTCTCGTCCATTGATCTAGTTGTTTATATTTATGACAATAGTATAATGTTGGTGGTTCAAACTCACCAGCTGCTCCTTGGAAACCCTATACAGGGCTACTATGAGTCAGAACCAACTCAACACAACTTAACAATGACAACAAATAATGTCTTGAATACTAACAATAAATCTTGGAATTAGTGCTAATCCTTTAAGAAATCAAAGGACATATTGCATTAGGCAAATCTGCTACACAAGACCTTTTTAAAGTGTTGAAGAGCAAAGATGTCAGCTTGAGAACTAAGGTGCGCCTGACCCAAGTCATGGTATTTTCAATAACCTCATTTGCATGTGAAAGCTGGATAATGAATAAGGAAGACTGTAGAAGAATTTATGCCTTTGAGTTATGGTGTTGAAGGAGAATATTGAAAGTGCCATGGGATGCCCAAAGAACCAATAGATCCATTTTGGAAGAAGTGCAGCCAGAGTGCTCCTCGGAGGCCAAGATGGCTAAACTTCATTTCTCATACTTCGGACATATTGTCCGAAGGGACCAGTTACTGGAGAAGGATATCATGTTTGGTAAGGTGGAGGGTCAGAGAGAAAGAGGAAGACCCCCACGAGATGGATTGGCCAAGTGGCAGCATCGATGGACTCAAGCGTGGCAACAATAGTGAGGCTGGCCCAGGATTGGGCAGTGTTTCGTTCTGCTGTGCATAAGGTCGCTATGAGTTGGCACCGACTCGATGGCACCTAACAACAACAACAATCCTCTAACTTTGTTCTTTTTCATAGTGATTTTAGCTATTCTAGGTACTGTGCCTTTTTCATGTGTTGATTTCTATAAAAGTCTGCTGGGATTTTGATTGCTTTGCATTAACTCTATTGATCAATTTGGGAAAATTAATATCTTGGCAATAATCATTCTTAAAACTCACAAACATGGCATATCTCTTCATTTATTTAGGTTACCTCTTTCATCAATGTTCTATGTTTTGCAGTGTATAGATTTGTAAGATTGATCCCCTAAGTATTTGATAGCTTTTGGTGCTATTGTAATGGTACTGGGCTTTTAAATTTTTTGTTTCCAATTGTTTCTTGCTTGAATAAAGAAGTAAAATTGTCAATTTAATGTTGATCTTATATCCTGAAAACTTAGGAAACTGACAAGACTTCTGGCTGTACTTCTTCCAAAAGAGAAATAGCCCCTAAACATGTGTGCCTGTGTTCTTTCTTGTGCCCTATGTAAATTCTCCAAATAACAGCCAATGTGAATTTTCAATGATGCAAATGAAATTTCACAGATGGAACTAGTTAGTAGGTACACCCTGAGTGGAACCTCCAAGTCAGAGGTAAGACAGGGAGAGGCACACCATGGTGGGACCAATTTAACCCAAATGGCGTGGGTCTAACCCTGGTGATTCTTTGCCTATGAAATGCAGAATAGAATGAAACCAGATTGAGGGGGAAAATTATAGATTTTCTCCTAAACAATGTTTATATAATCATGAAGATTCAGGCAGCATGTTAAGCATAATAAGCAATCATTCATTTTTCTTAACACTTCAAAAAAATGCTTCATTTATCACTCCCCACAAATGCCTGGCACTCACTGTGAATCATTAAAACAGTAAACGATGTAATATAAATCACCGTGTCCCATGATCCAGATAAAACCACTGTTCTGATTATATATGTATATCACATCATCCTGTAACCAATGGGTGACAGATCACCCTGAAGCATAAGGACGTCAAACAATGACAATCATCTTGTTATTTTTCACAGTGCTAGGGCTTGACTGGAGTCCTGGTGTGGTGCTGTGGGCTAATGCGTCAGACTGTAAAGTCGTTTGGACTGCAAGGTCAGTGGTTCAAGCTCACTAGCTGGTCCTTGGAAACCCTATACAGGGTCGCTACGGGTCGGAATCGACTTGACGACACTTAACAACAAGGCATTGACTGGGTGTAGCTAGGTATTTCTCACTCAAAGGTTCATATGCTTTCAGTCAGAACTATGGCTGGAATCCTCTTAAGAGTCACTCACAGATTGGGTGCCTGGACTGGGGAGATTCATAGAAATGTGGGATGGAACAGCAGGGCTTCCCTGTGTTCAGTTCTTTGCCATCTTGACAGCATCTTCTCTCCAGCCAGGTGTTTTCAGGGTCGTGGGAGTTCTTACATGGTCCTCCAGGGCTTCCAAGTTCATATCCCAACGGAGAGAGAGCAAGGTGCAAACTGTGTTGGCCTTTCTAACAGAGTATTGGAAACATGGAACATCTCCATCCCAAAGCCCTCTATGTTCAAGGGGAGAGGCATAGACTTAATCTCTTGATGGGGGAAGTGGCAAGAAAACAACTGCTGCAACTCTGTTCGTCATTTTAGTTGGCTCTATATGCAGATGTCTCTTTTGACATATTCTGTTTAACATAAACACATTGATATGATGCATGCTCTTCTGAACCCTGCTTTATTCATATTAGACCAACTGTTATTGAAAATGAAACCGAGATAAGTTAATAGGACTTGTAACACAATGAGTTAGCAGTGGAATTGGGCTAGATCTCAAGTCTCTTGGTTATAATTCTAGGACTCTTTCTACTTCTCTATATGAAATAATGAAAGCACAGCTCTGGAACATGGCATGTTGGATTTTGATTACCGTGGGTGGGGTAGTGTGGATGTTGAAATACTTTATTTAATAAGGCAGGACTGTTAAGAGGCTAGTTTGGCAGCCCACATAGAAGTAGATGAATTTTAGGTTAATAAAAAAACCCTCAAATGAAGTGTAAGATATAAGTGATATGCAAAGAAGCACAGGCAGCTGATTATTGTCTCTAAAATGTGATTGGATGGTTCTAAGTTTAGGAGCTCTGGTAGCGTAGTGGTTACGAGCCGGGTTGCTATCTGAAGGTCAACAGTTCAAAACTACCACCAGTTCTATGAGAGAAAGATGAGGCTTTCTCTTCCCATAAAGATTTATAGCCTCTGAAACCCTATATAGGGTCGTTATGAGTCAGAACTGACTCCATGGCATATAACCACCACCACCAAAGTCTAGAGAAAAATAGAAGTCAGCTTATACTGCTGACCGATCAAGCTAGTTTTACAGGTAAACTGCTGACCGATCAAACTAGTTTTGCAGGTAAACTGCTGACCGATCAAACTAGTTTTACAGGTAAACTGCTGACCGATCAAGCTAGTTTTGCAGGTAAACTGGAGTTAGAAGCCAGGGAGACAGTTTAAAAAAAGAAAAAGAATGAAAAATAACCTTTTATCCAAGTGTTTGCTATATACTAGAATCATGGTGATTGTTTAAAATATATGCCCATTTGCCAAAACTCTTTGGGATGGTGGTATTAATATTCCCATTTTATATACGAGGACTGCTGCACTTAGGAGCAAGGTGTGGCACTATGCTTCTGTAAAGATTACAGCTTTGGAAAGAAACCCTATGGGATACTTCTTCACTGTCTCACAGGGTCTCTATGAGTTGGAATTGATTCCATGGCAAACAGACCCAAACCCAAAAAACCCAATCACATGCCATAAATTCTATTCTCATGGTTGCAGAGTAGAGCTTTTTCATGGGATTTTCAATGGATGTGATCATTTGAAAGCAGATCACCAGGACTTTCTTCATAGCCATCATTGGGTGGGTTTGAACTGGCAGCTTTTTGGTTAGTAGTTAAGTACTACCCAGGGACTCTGAAATACAGACAATTCTGCTGAAATGGCTTAACCCTGACTTGCGTACCTGTATCTGTTTGTTAAAATTAAATATGGAAGAATATGTAATTGAGGAGTAAACTATACTAGCTGAGTTGCAGTATAGGTAGGTGCCAGTCACACACCCCTGAGGGGGCTATGTGATTGGCGAGGCACAGTGCTTGAGGCACCCCAGAACTGACAGCTTCCCTGAATTGAAGTGACCTACACTCACTCAGTGCATTGACTCGCAACCATGCATATTCCAAGTATGACATCACTGGGCTACTAGAAAGTGTGCCTGAGAGTCCTAAGGCCTACTGCATAGTGTCACTGCATAGGTTGTATAGCTGTCACATGTCCTTCCTTACCCTGTTGCCACCAAGTTGATTTGGACTCCTAGTGACACTATAGGAGAGTGGACGTGCACCATAAGGTTTCCAAGAGTGCCATCGTTATGGAAACATCTTTGTCCTGAAGAAGGGCTGGTGGGTTTGAATCACCAACCCTTTGGTTAGCAGCTGAGTGCTTAACCACTGCATCACCAGACTCTTAAAGCTAAGTACGGTGTTCTGGTGTGGCACTATAGAATAAGCACTGGATAGCAGATTGGTTTAAAATTAAGGACTAAGTTCAAATCCAACCAGCCACTCCTCAAAAACCCCACACAAGGTAACTATGAGTTGGAACCAACTTAACAACACTTAACAACAGCAAAGGTAAGTAAAATGGGTGCTAGGTTTACCTCATAAGATTTTTTGCCAATTGGAGCCCAAGTCTACTGTAACTGGTGAAGCAGAGAAGCATTTCAGTGTATGAGTATTGGATTTTGAAAAAAAAAAAAAAAATCCCCAATAATTCTGATGAACACTCTCAACTGAGGAAAGAAAACTGATTTAGATCAATGATTCCACTTTATGTTAGAAAAAATGGGCTCAAAGACATGAACTACCATACTGAAGTCTCACAGATTATCAGAACCTGAACTATGTTTTCTAGACTTAGGCCCTGTGGCTGCCCATTGAAGTAATTTGAAATCACTTTTCCCAAAATGTATTCTGCACATGTACTACATTGTGATGAATCAGTTTCTGTAAGATTTATTAAATTTTGGTTTGCATCCAAAATCGACTGCAATTTTGGTTTGAACCATGAAGTTAGTGGTTCAAATCTACCAGCTGCTCCTTGGTAACCCTATTCATGATTGCTATGAGTTGGAATCAACTTGATGACGCTTAACAATAACGCAACAAAGATTCTGAAAAGTTGCAAAGCTAAGGCAATTGGCTTCATTTAACTCATGTTGTTAGGTGCTATCCAGTCAGTTCTGACTCATAGAGACCCTGTATAGAGTTTTCAAGGAGCAGCTGGAGGGTTTGAACTACCAACCTTATGGTTAGTAGCCCAGTGCTGATCCTCCAGTGCCACACCAGGGTCCCTCATATGACTCATTTGTTGTTGTTAAGTGCTGTGGAGTCTGTTCTGACTTATAGCAACCCTGCATAGAGTTTCCAAGGAGAGGCTGGTGAGTTTGAACCGCTGACCTTACAGTTCAAATTGGTCTTGTGATCTAGGACTTAGTCTGCAGCATCACACCAGGACTTCTTTAACTCATAGTCACCCCAATTAATTTGGACGTGAGACCCTTCATTTCCACAACTATCATCACACTGAATAGTGTCTTTGCAAATCAAGCTTTTAGAAAAGCTAACTTAGAGAAAAATAGTGGAAGAAAGCTAGATGTGGTACATGATTACAACTGCTATTGTCTAAGCTATAAGCCATTGACACCTATATTTGTAGTAACATAGATTGTAATTAAAATGTGTGTTATTGTTGTAGCTTATTATGAAGGTTGTTGTCTTGGTTCTAAGACCACAGTTTTGTGGAACAACCACAAACCCTCAGAGCTTGCATAGAAGGCACAGAGGTGGGAGATCACCAGTAGCTGAACCATCACAATTATGCCACAAATTTTGGGCAGAATCATCCATTTGGTTATGGGTGCAAAAGGGATTTAGAAGCCCAAGGCATTAAAGGGAGAAACCCTTTTCTATTGAGGATCTTTCTCAGGGCACTCTTAATATCCTTATTCCTCAGGCTATAGATGAAGGGGTTCAGCATGGGGGTCACCACAGTGAACAGGACTGCACCAATCTTATCCCTGTCATCAGGTTGAGCAGATGAGGGGAAGAAGTAAACCCCTACAATGGTCCCATAGAAAAGTAATACAACCGTCAGGTGAGAGCCACAGGTGGAGAAGACTTTCCATTTTCCCTCTGTGGATGAGATTCTCAGGACAGCGCTAACGATGCGGATGTAGGAGAAGAGGATCAGGATAAAGGGAAAGGTGATGACAGACAAGCCCAGGACAAATAACACAAGCTCATTTACCATTGTATCTGAGCAGGACAGTTTGAGCAGAGGGGCCAGGTCACAGAGGAAGTGTGGGATAATGTTTTTGTCACAGAAGACCAACTGAATGAGCATAAAGGTGTGAGTCATGGCAACAACATTACCGAGGACCCATGGGATGCCTGTCAGCAAAGCACAGAGCCTGGACTGCATGATGGTCATATAGTTCAGAGGGTGGCAGATAGCCACAAAGCGGTCATAAGCCATAACCCCCAAGAGGAAGTTTCCAGTGGTAACAAACACAATGAAAAAGTACATCTGGGTGATGCAG